ATTTTGTACATTCACAAATTTAGAAAAAAGTGTGAACAGTTTTGAATTATTGTGTGTAAACAATGACAACCGTGTTGCAGTTGTGCTTAACTTTTGCTTTCTTGTGTTTAGGGTTTTGCATCACAAGTTTATCACAGTGCAAACTGCGTTTTAGTGAGTGAGAATGTGTTTAGAGTTTTGCAAAAAAGAGTGCATGAGATCTGCAAATAGTGTCTAAACTGCTTGAACTTGTTTAAGGTTTCGCAGAAAGGGTGATTTATTTGACAAACTGGTTTAGGCTATTGAGAATTTGATTCAGAGTTTGGGATGTAGTGTCTTAGCAAATGTGAAGAACTGTAAAAAGAGAGGTTCTTCGTAAAGAATTGTTCACTGCAAGACTCTTTAGGGAACCAGAAAAGATTCTTCTATGACATTGCTGAGAATGCCATAGAACCTTTACTTTTAAGAGCGCAGATGGACCTGGTTTGAGGTCATACTAGATTAAATCACAAATCACCAATCGACATACACTAATGGAGAGCATCCATCAAAGTCCAGCTCTGCAAAAAGACACAGCCCACTGTGACAACACCCTGTCCACTGATATCACAGATATAGAGACCCCCGGACTCGTTAGGGCATCTAGTATGCTCAGTCATTTTTCATGCAGAAATGTACCTAATGGAAGTCATTCCCAGTGGGACAGCATGCGTCAATGCCCTGGGCGTCTGACTATGAAGAGCTGTGCTTCAAACTCCAGTCCATCTGATCTTTGCTTGATCATTTATTTACGTTGACCTCAAACTAATCAGGGATTGAGTCATCAGACCTCAGCTCGCAAGCTTCCCATCTGCTTATCACTGAGCGTTTCTCTCAGGCGCATTCTTTAATTAGGATTAAGAAAATGCCACAAGGTTTCATATGTTAGCATTATACACTATTATACACGTCTTCATACTGTATAGAGCATATCTTTTTTTAACAACTAACAACTACTTCATTCAAAAGAAGTACCTCCCTCAGAGAATATGCCATTTTGAATGCAGCCCCTTTTGTTAATTTAAAATCAAAAGTTGTATCTGGTAACATTAGTTGTTGCACTGTTAACTAACTTGAACAAACAATGAAGAAATGCATGTTTTATTAATTAAAGGGTTAGTTCACCCAAAAACGAAAATTCTGTCATTAATTACTCACCCTTGTGTTGTTCGAAACCCGTAAGACCTTCGTTCATCTTCGGAACACAAGTTAAGATATTCTTGAAGAAATATGAGGGCTCTCTGGCCCTCCCATAGACAGCAAGGTAACTACCACGTTCAAGGTCCAGAAAAGAACCAAGATGATCAACAGAGTAGTCCGTGTGACATCAGTGGTTCAACTGTAAAGTTGAGAATACATTTTTGGTCAAAGAAATCAATCAAAAATAATGACTTTATTCCACATTTTCGTCTCTACTGCGTCACTTTGGACATGCGTTCACGACAGTATCATGACGTGAGCGTGTGGCGGCGCCCAGATCTGGGTCAGCGCCACAATTAATGACAGAATTTTCATTTTTGGGTGAACTAACCCTTTAACATTAACAAAGATTAATAAATGCTGTAAATTATATTGCTCATTGTTAGTTCATGTTAACTAAAGGGGCCACTGTAAAGTGGTACCATTATACAAGTTTTTAATGCAGTTTTTCTTAATAAATGATATTATACATTATAATAAATAAATTGACAACAAATATAATTAAATTATAATAATAATACAAATATGTTACAGACAAACCTAAGAAAAAGATCATATCTTTTCATAAAATGTGAGTTTTATGGGAAAGGACAGCAACGCTCTTTTCAGCTGCCCATAGCTGTTGCGGTTGCAAGATAGTGGTTTTGGCCGCAGTGATGAAGTCTGTGCCATTGTGTTCTGGCTGAGACATGGATCATTGGCAGCACTTTCCTGGTCTGAGGACTGAGGCCCTATCACAGCACTAGTTGATCACAGCTGCACATTGCATCAGCATCACAAAATATTGCCGCAAACACACTGATAACAGGCCACTCTTCTGTTATGATTTAATTATGCTGCTTAAAATCTTGGGAAGTGTGAATTATGCAAGTGAAGCAATGGCATATTCTGTGTTTTTTTTAATTCTCTGAGCATAATCTGACTCAGTTTATATTTGTTTGGATTGTTTTGTGGTTTTCATGGCATTCAGTATAAAAAGTGGTGTGGTTTTCTGCAGAAACCATTTCCATGGCATCCCAACTGAGCAAATCAACTTTGAACTTTTTGAGTTTAAGACTATAGGTTCTTTTTCTGTTTAGGAAGTTGTTGTTCCCTTTGGATCAGATCACGCTGCAGCAGATTCATCAAAATTTCAAAGTTCTCCTACTGACAGACACGGAATAATGATATCTTGCAAACTTGAGATTTGAAATCTATAAAGTTTGAATGAGAAATATCTTCCCTTCCCCTCCCCAAAGTTTGGTTTGAAGCGCAACTAACCATCATATAAATGTAGCTACTAAGCTACAGGGAAACATTTGTCTCATCTCTAACCTTGGGCTTTACAGAAGCACTGCTCTGGCACTAATCATTAAATCAGAGCAGAAAGAATTTCTGCTGCCTAAAGAAAAACACACTGTAGGGGGCAGCGCACTTTCCCTGAAATGTAACTAATGAATATACTCTTCTTAAACAGTCAAATCTTTGTGTACTGAACGCTTCATCTTCTGCTGCAGTGTTAAAGACATATCATTGCGCCACTGCTTTTGAATTTATAGCTACTTATGTTGCATGATTTCTGTAAAAACACTCGGTAAGTGCTTGAAATCACCCTTTGACTCCATTATCCACAACCATATTCCATGGCTTTTATAGTTGTTCTAGTTGCTGTAGTTTTTTTTTTTTTTAGCAAAAATATAAGCATATTAGAGAGTATTATAGAACTACAGCAATGTATATTCATTATAAAAATGCCCACAGAATTGTATGATTGTAAATTGTAAATGAATTGACTTCTCCACATCTAGAAATCACACTATTAAAATTAGGCTTACTTATACCTCCAGATTATTCATGACATTTGTTTAGGAGGTGAATTAAAATAAGTAAATAAATAAATATCTCGCTTCTAATTGTTTTGTCTTATTGTAAATCATTTTAATCATCGTGACGACCGCTTAGGTCCCTTCCCTCTGATTGAGTATATAAAGTATAATCTTTACTATGAATTTCATATACTTACAGATCAACAGTTACAAATGTGCATCAAACAGTATTTCAGAAATTTACTTCAATTACCGATAGTGGTTTTGGCCGCAGTGATGAAGTCTGTGCCATTGTGTTCTGGCTGAGACATGGATCATTGGCAGCACTTTCCTGGTCTGAGGACTGAGGCCCTATCACAGCACTAGTTGATCACAGCTGCACATTGCATCAGCATCACAAAATATTGCCGCAAACACACTGATAACAGGCCACTCTTCTGTTATGATTTAATTATGCTGCTTAAAATCTTGGGAAGTGTGAATTATGCAAGTGAAGCAATGGCATATTCTGTGTTTTTTTTAATTCTCTGAGCATAATCTGACTCAGTTTATATTTGTTTGGATTGTTTTGTGGTTTTCATGGCATTCAGTATAAAAAGTGGTGTGGTTTTCTGCAGAAACCATTTCCATGGCATCCCAACTGAGCAAATCAACTTTGAACTTTTTGAGTTTAAGCAAACAGTATTTCAGAAATTTACTTCAATTACCTGTTGACGTTGTGAGTCATAACACGCCATGTGGCATTTTTATCTAAAATTATTAAAACATATTTATTGCCTTAAGTTGCTTGTATATTTATATATTTTTTCATTCCCATAAACTATTGATTTGTTGAGGCTCACAAAAATAAAACCGCTTCCTCTATATACAAATTAATTTATCTACCCTGCTGTTCTAAAGTAGCCGGGATGAGGTTAAAATGAAAATGCAAGTAAAAATGCGTCAGAACAGCAGAAGCTGCTAAATATATAATTAGTATGACTGGAATGAGTTTAAGTGGCTTATGACTGAGAAAAAAGTAGACGAGATCTTACAGCTGCTTCACAGACATCATATTGTTTAAAAACTTCTTTATAGTCCCATAGTTCACTCCAATTGCATCATAAGACGTTCTCAAAGGGATAATTCACCCAAACATTAACAGTGTCATCAGTTCTCTCATTTCTACTGAAAACTGTAGCAGAATGTCCAAAATGGCACACTCCACAGAATGAAAGATTTGCAGAAGTTTCCACTTCGAATGGATGACTTGAGAAAATTTTGAACAATGCGCACAAGTTGGATATTTTGATGCACTGCTATAATGCTTTTTAGAGTATGACAGCTCATCCCCATTTACTTTCACTGCATGGAAAAGAGCAGCTCAAACATTCTGCTAAACATCGGCTCATGTTATGAAAGAAAGATCGAAAGACAGAGTAAAAATTGAAGGGCACACACAAATATATAACTCTTATATATATTTACAATCGGTTTTGATTTTGTCTCCGCAACAGATTTTCCTTGAATATTCGTTCAGCTTTGGCAATTAAAATCCCACCACCCCACAAAAACAACGAAAAGCACATTCAGAGGTGAACATTGTGCACATGAAAAGACCTAAGTATATAAACTTAATAAAGTACAATATAAACTTTACTACTACTGATAAAATGCCATTGTGGGGATAGTACAATAAAGTGAGTTCTCTAAATGAAATCTTAAAAGAAATATCGTTTATATACTACAGAAAATCAACAATGACTGAAGACATTTAAAATGCCACTTATACAACGAGCAATAAATTAGTCACAAAATACTCTTTTTCTAAAACATTCAATCTGTTAGATCACGTACTTTTTAAAAATTAATTCAAGAAAAACCCTTGTGCCTCTTACACCAATTACAAACCTGAGCAGCATTTTCCCCCATTGACAGACAGTAACACAGCTCAAAAGCTGCAGTGTTACTATTAGATAAAAAATAATAATTTCATAATCACCCAAAAGCAATCAGCACTGTCACACTGAAACATCACAAGGGTGGAGATTTAAAAGGCAAAAATGGAAAATAAGGTGGAGTGAAGAAGTCATAGGGGAGATGACAGACACTGTAAAGTTTCTTTTCTTTCTTTTTTACCAATGTCGGGAGTCAACCAGCTCTGGGCGCAAGCTGAGCTTTTTGAGAGTTTCATAACCGACTACCATGACTATTGCAGTGGGCGCTGAGGCTATGATGCGAGCAGAGAGGCCTTTGGTCATCCCCCAGAATCCCTCCTCTCTGATCAGCTGGTTGAAGGTCTCAATGACTGATGTCCTGCCCTCCACCTGCCCCCCAAAAAAAGAGAGTCAGCGATTAGGTTTTCTGGGGTTTAAGAAAAATTTACGTTAAAAAATTGTAGAACTGAGCAAAGCGCACATCAGAAAAAGAACAATATATATGTTTAAAAAAAATGGATATAGAAAAGAATCACCCCCCTTAAAATAATCACATTTTGTTGCTTTGCAGTCTGAAATGAAGATGGACACAGTTTTTGTTTTATCCAGCTGTATTTACTCAGTGCAACTTATAACATCCAAGTGAAAGATAAAACACCAACATGTCAGAAAAAAAACAGAATCACTGAGTTGAAAAAAGGATCAGCCCCTCCTAAAAATGACTTGTAAACTCAATCAGGTGTAGCTTATCACCTTCTCAATGGCACACAAAGCCATTTGACTTTTAACTGTGGTCATTATGTCTCTCTGCAGCAGGGACTGGAGCACTTGTCAGTATAGAAGGAAAAAAAGGATGGGGCAAAATACTGTCAAATTATTGAGGAAAATCTGCTGCCCTCTGCCAGAAAGTTGTCAATGGGAAGAAGCTTTACTTTCCAACATGACAATGACCCAAAGCACAGCAAAACTGAGCACACAGTGTTGCATGGCCTAGTCAGAGCCCACACTTAAACCCCACTGAAAATCTGTGGAATGACTTGAAGACTGTAGTCCACAAACGCTAACCATCAAATTAAACTGAACTTGAGCAGTTCTGCAAAGAAGAGTGGGCAAATATTGCAAAGTCTAGATGTGCAAAGTGAGTAAAGACATATCCCAACAGACTAAAGGCTGTAATTAAAGCAAAAGGTGGTTCAACAAAATACTGACACAAGGGGGTGATCCTTTATTCAACTCTGATTCTGTTTTTTTATTATTATTTTTTTCCTGACATGTTGGTGTTATGTCTTTCACTTGGATGTTATAAGTTGCACTGAATAAATACAGATGGAAAAAACAAAAACGGTCCGTCTTTAATTCAGGCTACAAAGCAACAAAATGTGATTATTTTATAGGGGGGTGATTCTTTTCTATACCCACTGCATACGTCAAATCAGTTCTGTTGTGTTGCTGGTTAACCGATTTGCATTTTGCTTTTTACATAAGCCGGTTTTTGATAGTAGTCTGTGATTTGTTGCACATGTAAACACACTCACACCAACTATAAATATAGGTTGTCTGATTTGATACTGTGTTTAATGTAAATCACCTGAACCCGGGCCCTGACGATATCCATGGGGTTGGTGACAGTGGAGGCAGTAGCAGCTGCCAGAGGTCCAGCCATTGCCTGCAGCACTAGATGTGGGCAGTTACTGGGAGCCATCTTAGACAACTGTTCTGTGAAGCCAATAAGAGCAAATGAAATTTCAGCTTCTTCAGAATCAACTGACATTACATCAGTCTCTAATGAGATGGATATATTGCCAACCAAGATGACTTTAGTCCATGTGACTCTGAACAGTATAAGAAAACATCAACATTCAAAGTACATAAAACTGCCATTGCCAAATACATACACAATCTGCGACTACTTTGATCAAATTAATTGAAATGTTAAAGTACCTTTCAAAAGTGTGCTTGGTTTTTGAATAAGCTCTCTTATGCTCACCAAGGCTGCATTTGTTTGATCAAAAATATAGCCAAAACAGTAATATTGTGAAATATTATTATAATTGATGATCCTTCAGAAATCATTCTAATATGCTGTTATCTTCATATGTTCATTTATCAAAAATAAAGGTGATGCTGATGGTCAGTACAACATCTCTTACCTGCATAGAAGTGGTAAAATGGCCACCAAACGGCACTGTTGGGGATGTATGTGAGGAGAGACGCCACATATCCTCGATAGAAGCCACGAATGCCATCCACAGCAAATATCTGCCCAATAATGTCTCTCGTCTGGCCGAAAAATACAGTGCGCGTTGCTCCCATTATGGTTTTCACTTTAAAGCGGGTCAGATGCTCCCCTTGGCCTTGCATCATAAGCTGCTGCGATATGACATCTATGGGAACAGTAATGCTCTGGGCCACCAGTGACGCCGAGCCTCCCGCAACTAATGACTTCAGCGTATTGTCTTTAGAATAGTTGGAAACATATTTCCTTACCAGTTCGTAAGTGGTTATGTACGCCTGCCCTGATATGAGCGTGAATGTGGTCACCATGAAGCCCCTGTAAAGTCCTCTCAGACCCTCAGCTCTCAGAATCTTACGGAAGGCATCGTAGGTCCCAGTGTAGAGAGACTTCCCCTTCTGAACCTGCAGCCTGGTGCGGATCAGCGTGGCCGGGTAGACCGTTGTGCGGATGGCCATGGTCATGAAGACTCCAAATGAGTAGAACTTGCGTTTGTCCAAGTCCTCCCATTCTATGATCTGAATGTTGCGCTTCTGCTGCATGTTTCCTGCCTGTAGTGCTCGGCATTAGTTCCAGACCACCTGGAAAATAGCGGGGGGGACACACACATATTAATGGGATAGTTGAACCAAAATTACCATTCTATCATCATTTACTCACCCTCATGTTGAAAGTGAAGTGAACCTGTTGAACTTCCTCGCTTGCGTGGAACACAAAAGTAGATGTTAGGCAGCATCTTCTGTGTTCCACTAAAATAAAGTAAGGTATACAGGTTTGGACCAACATGAAGGTGAGTAAATGATGATTGAATTTTCTTTTTCTTTTTTGTGAATTAACCCTTTAATTAACTTAAAGGGGTCATATGATGCTTTTTTAAGATCATTATTTGGTGTATTTGGTGTAACAGAATATGTTGACATGCTTTAATGTTCAAAAAACACATTATTTTTCAAATACTGTACATTATTGTAGGTCCTCTATGCCCCGCCTCTCTCAAACGCTTCGTTTTCTACAAAGTCCCTCCTTCCGACAAGCGCAGTCTGCTCTGATTGGCCAGCTGACCCAGTGCATTGTGATTGGCCGAACACCACAAGCACTCGTCGGAAATGTAACGCCCCTTACCATAATCGCGAGCACACACACACACACACACACACACGATGTGCAAAACTCCGCATTTGAACAGTCAATAGCAAATACTTAAACTAATAACAAAACAGTAG